TCCCCGCCCCCTTGAGCAGGAACGACGGCAGCAGGTCGGGTACAAGCCACAGCGCAAACACTGCGGATGGGGTGTGGGGTTGGGGTGACAGGGGTTCAGGGTTTCAAGGTTTAAGGTGACAGCGTTGCGGTTGGTTTCAGGTGAGAGTTGAGTCGACTCAAGAGTCATCAACTCCTCGCCCTTGAGCAGGAACGATGGCAGCAGGTCAGGTACACGCCACAGCGCGAACACTGGGGATGGATGGGGAGTGGGGTTGCAGGGTGTTAAGCGTTCAGGGTTCAAGGTGTCTCAGACCTCCCCGCCCTTGAGCAGAAAGGATGGCAGCAGGTCAGGAACAAGCCAGAGCGCAAACACTGGAATGGGATATGAGGGTGGGCGTGACAGGGGTTCAGGGTTTCGGGGTTAAAGGCGACTGCTACGTCAACTTGGAAGTCATCACCTCCTCGCCCTTCAGAAGGAAAGGCGGCACCAGGTCAGGCACACGCCACATCGCAACAATTGGGGATGGGGTGTCGGGACTGGGTTTGAGCAGCAGGAGTTGAGGGTATAAGGTTGAAGGTCCGGAATTGAGGGGTTCAGGGTTTGACATGAGGAGGGTAAACAGCAGGTTACTGTCGAGTTGCGGTGAAGGTGATTGAAACAATAGTATGGGAGGGAAATGGAGCGCGCACAGGAAGCACGTGCTCTGGACGGCGGAAACTCCAAACGGGAAAGAACCGTCCAAACTCCAAACGGGAAACGCATCAAGTCGTTACACCCGCACGAGGGTTGAGGGGAAGAACAGCAGAGTGGAACGAGAAGGGAGGAAAGGGCGCAAGGCGGGGAAGACGGGAAAGGTCCGTGTGAGAATCTGTGTGGTTACATGGCCATGTGGTTACCAGTGGGGTAGATCTCAGTGCCGTGGCCGTCGCAGTCGAAGAGCATGGCAGCCCGAGTCCCAGCACGAGGGGGTGTTGCCATGCCACATGAGTATCAGTGTGGTTACCAGTGGGATATATTTCGGTGCCGCGGCCATCGCAGTCGAAGAGCATGGGCAGCCCATTCTCTATTCCGTACACCAGCACGCGATTCACCAGCCTCGTCACCGCCACGGCAGCCTGAACCACCAAACAAACCGATCGGGGTTCCGTGAAAAAAAGAAAGAAAGAAAAGAAAAAATGACTATTTTCGGGGGAAAAAAATCACTGAAGGGAGCAGGAAATTCGGCGGGTTGCGTGTTGGCCGCTTTGAGGCGCCTCAAAAGACGCTGGCATCAGAGCAGGAGGAAGGCCAGCTGGACTAGGAGGGCGGGAAGGATTCAGCATGATGCAGGATATCAAGCGGCGAATGCGGGGACCTACTACGTGGGAAATAACCGGGGGGGATTACGAGGTTAAAGCGGGGAGCTATTAAGGAGCACCTTGGGCGGCAGGATCGCGTCCAGCTGTTCGTCAGTGGCGCCTGGAAACTTGTCTCGGATGTTTCGCCGAAGCTTCTTTCTGTCCGCTCCTGACAGACGCTGCTGTCCGCGAACGTCGCTAGGCTTTTTGAACATGATGGCGATCGTACGGTTTAGAACCTTCGTATGGCTTGGCAAGACGGCTATGTTCGAAGGTCTGGAGAGCTCGAGATTAACTCTTTGATGCATGCACTCCAAAGTCGCGGTTCGAAGGAGTCTCTGGCAGATCGGGTACGAAGATGAGCGGGGATCGGAATGAGTGAGAAGTATGAGAAGTATGTGGAGATATGGAGGCTACGGGAGAAAATTAATTTTGTCAAGGCGTGACTCAGTAGGCTCGACAAAAAGTGGTTCAATCTGGTTTTGTACGTTTTACAGCGGTGCATGCAGCATTGAGATTTGTTGAGTTTGATTATAAGGTTACAAGTTGGGTTAGTTCGCTTTCAGTATCAGGTTACATCCATCAACGAATAAGTAGAAAGCTGCTCATTCCCCGTTAGACAATGGCGAAAAGTTTCGCCTCACACGTCACCTGCACGAGTTCGGTCCAAAATAGGCAAAGTTCGAACTTTAACCGCTTTGAAACGTGGGAAAACATGTCTGAAATGTATTCTACCGTGTAGCATCTCTTCAAAAAGTCGAACTTTGCCGAAAGTTCGACCCGAAGGACACACGCCCTAACCACTAAATCAATGTCCGACTTTCAGGCATGAAAGCGGATGTCCCGCCACAATTGCCTCCCGCTACTCAGTCTGACGGCGAATTAGGTTACTGACTGTGAAGGTGGCGGCTATTTGCGGGAAGTGCATTACGGCGCATACTAGTAGCACTCAAGGTAACAATTTTAGCTCTCGTCGTACTCGCCATGTTAGTCCGTATTTTCTGCAAGCATGTTTTTGGCGCTACTGCCACTTCCCGCGCGCTGCTAAGAAATTTTACAAAATAGGGTCTGCGACATTTTGGGGCGCCTTCATCTCCTAGCTTTCTGTATCGAATGGCCAAACTCCACTTATTCGGAAAACGAGTTGATTTTGGAGTCCTTAGTATTCGAGCCTCCTCTCGCCATGAGTGCCGCGACTCTCGTCGCCGCGCACTGTGGCACAGTAACCGCAACGTACTGCTTATATTAGCCGTTCAACAGATGCATACGCTAAGTGGACAGAAGTCAATGAGATGCATTGCGTGACTGATTGACTTTTCAGGCACATTTTTTAGATATCACCTCACCCAAGCACCCACCCATTTCAGGCACATTTTTTAGATATCACCTCACCCAAGCACCCACCCATTTCAGGCACATTTTAGATAAGCACCATACCCACATAGAGAGCACTAGCTTAAATGCGTACCCATGCAGAAGGACCACGGGAGAAATGGGCACACCATGAACACACCACCATGGTTACAATGCTAGCTTCCGTTGCGGCAAGCAGAATCCCCCTGGCATTCCCCCGCCGTTATTGGTAATAGTATTATACTAATTCCAGTATTACAGATAGTAGTACGGATAGTATTAAACGATTCCAGTCTTGACCGTGGACCGCTGGGTGTTGTTTGGCGCTGCTCTTGAAGCTGCTGAATCAGCAGAGATCTGCAGACACAAGGACAAGGTGGGAGGTGGTACGAGTCAGTTTCTCAGCACATGCACACGTAGGGGAGGTGGGCCCCACATTAAAGGCTCTCCAGACTCTGCAGCGCTGCGAAGGGACAGCTGCTATGGCCTTTACATGAGGCGCACATGCTGGCATCATGAGGGCTGATCCCCACAGCACATGCACACACGGGCGTGGTGGGTAGTTTTGAGTCGCCTAGAAAATATCTCCGTGCGGCGCACATGCTTGCATCATCATAGCTTAGCCCCACAGTCTATCATGCACAACGGCCGTGAGTTGGGAAAGACCAGGCTGTGAATGAAGGCACATGCGACAACGCTTGCGAGGCTTGCGCGCTCCAAAGGGACAGCTCGCATGGCCGTCCCATGACACGCAGTGTATGCGGCAAGACACTCCCTTCACATGGTTTTATGGCTGCGTGTATGAAACCATGGGGAGCATACAAGCACCACACCTCGCAATGATATTGCCCTCTCACTAACAAAGCACTGCCCTCGCACCAACAGGCATAGCCCCGACAAGCATAGCCCAGGCACCAAGAAGCATCTCCCACTCACCAGTAGCCCCAAGAGTCGCATTCCCGAATCGTGTTCGCACGGGCATTCTCGCATACATTCTGCTCCCTTTGGTTCATGTTCCGTTTAATGAAAAGAAACACCGAAATCGAGCAATCCCTATCGCCTTATCGCCTTATCGCAGCTCGATTCTGCAAACGCGTGACAGCAAAGGGGAGACTATTGAGTCGAATTTTTCACTTTGGGGCAGGCCGCCTGAGAATGAGCGACATCAAGGGAGGCAGCACGAAATCAGCAGCTCCTTGTATACAGTAACAGCAGGAAATTATAGAAAAGCAAAAGCAGAAAAAACCGCAGGAACAAAAACATGTGGGGGATTGGCTTGGCTATCCTACTCGAAACGAGTTCGCGGCGGCGACCCTGCTCGTCCCTTGCGCCGCGCTGAGCAACACTCGGCGCGCTCTCTGCCGTTATGGCGCCGCCGGCGGTGTCTACCGCTCCCGAGGCACCTGCGGCCACGCCATGCCGACAAATAGATTCACGCAGGGGACGAGTGGACCGGGGGAAGGGGTAAGGGGAGTGATGGGTGGCAGAGAGAGATTCGCGGATCATCTCACGGAGATGCGGTACCATCGCACGGAGATGCGGTAACATCGCACGGAGATACGGTACCATCGCACGGAGATGCGGTAAAATCGCACGGAGATGTGGGTCACCATCGTAAGTGAAAATACTTCGCACGAAGAATCATCGGCCCTCATAATCGAGGTTTGCTACTCACCATCGGTAGACATCCCGTCGCCAAGAAGCTGAGCAGGTCGAGCAGCAGCCGTGGAAGCGAGTGATGCGAGAGTGGCGGTGACGGCAAGCAGGAGAACGAGAGCCGTAAGCAGACGCGCCATGATTACTAGCTAGTAAAGAGGATGCGGAAGTGAGTTTGGAAACGAGAGATTGAAGAACTCTAGGGTGTGGGACTGATTTCGAAGAAAATCGTAGTGCATTTGTATTGCGTGAGATTGCGGATCTTGGTGAATGTGTGAATGGGCTGAAGCGCAGTTGCACGAATCACCTGCGGAAAATTCGGCGTTCCAACCATTATCCATTTCAGTGAGTCGCTTGACTACTCAGGGGATGTCGGATGGTGTGGTACGCTACACACGTTTCCAGTGCGTTACAAAAAGATAAGACTCGGTTTGATCGCCGCAAACAGCCAATAATCGAAATTGACCGCGTTACCAGGAATGTGACGCGTTTGACGACCACCGTGCACATTTCGTTTCCACCCAGACTGCCCGATCCAATTTTCTCGTGGAAAGTGTAAATCTTCACAAGGTGCCCGGTCGGGGTCTCGTTTCCCCTTTCAGTTGCTGGTGTTGGTTGCCTGGGAAGGAAGAGCTAGCTACGCGGGTGGGAACTTGACGATGACACTTTAAAATGCAAGTAATAAAAATTGGGATGTGAATGTTTTGTCCAGTTTTCGTTTCAAACTCCCACCTTTTAGGAGGTGTGGCCAATGATATTCCGTAGCTTCCTATCCTTTGAAAACTGCCGGTTCGTTCACAAAGCCCAGGTAAATACTTCACCCTTTGTGCAGTATGCCCGAGAGATGTCTGACTCGCCGTGAGGTGCGGTATGTCACAGATCACCGAATTCACATAGCAGTGAATTATGTGGTCTACACCTTTCTGATGTATGGTGTAGGTAAACAACACCATATGTAGAATAATGTGAATGTCTAGAAAACATGACAAGAGAAATAACAGGCCACAGACAAATATTTTTACTCTGTTGAATCATTGTATTATTAAGTCAATAATAACGATTGAACGGTTCTTCCTCGTATCAAGGCTTTGATTGCATATAATTTTCATACCATTGTTTATTTAAAAATTTAGTTGTTACATGTGCAAGATATCGTGCTCTTTGTGGGTGCCCCTCAGGCTCTTTGCTTACCTTCTTCTCCCGACCGCTCGTCGTCTACACCGTTCCCGCTCGTCTACGGTCCTATGTTCCTTCTAGCTTCTTCTCTCGGCTGCTGACTGGTCCGCATGTGTGCTTGTCCAGTGCCGAGGCCAAATATAGACGCGGAATTTACACTTACATTTGTGTGATGGACAAATATAGAGGCTTCCTCTTACACCATTCACCCCTATAATCCCATAGAGTGCAGGATCCCACGCACACAATCTCTGCTCCGTGTGAGTGATGCTTCAGGCTGGCATGTACCAACAACAATTCATGTATTCTCTGCTCAATAGATGCACATAGCATAGTGTTCAAGGAATCACACGATACCGTAATCTCCCGGATACAGTACCCCCCCGCGGAGAAGACCCCGGGTCCTCTTTCCGGACCAAGGGTCTTTTATTCCGACCTGTTCTCGTGAGGACCCCCCTTTTTTAAATATATATTTTAAGACCCCCCTCCTTCGTCAAAATTTCAAATTAATGTTATATTCTTAACGAATCTGGGGGGTTGGTGATGCTCGGCTGACTCGTCATCAGGCACAAAACGGTGACGCGAGACAGTTTCGCGTCGAATTCCAGTCAGGATTCGATTTTGCGTGGATTTTACTGTTGAGATTCGAATCCGCGTCAGGGGAAGAATTCAACACCCTCGGTAAAAGCTTGACTTTCCAGTGCTATGAGTGAATACATTGTGCTCTATGAATTCTTAATGTGTTCAGGGGTCTTAGTAAATATGCCCCTTGGTATTGTTTGTCAGAATATTATGCTCTAGCCTGTAGTGGGGTGCTCTGTAGCGAGTACAACCCTTCTAGGGTTTGCTATTTGTATCCCCATTCTTGCTAGTGCAACCCCCCTCTTTCGCCTAAACTCTCTTGCCTAGCTAGGACTCTCCTAGCTATGGCTCCTAAGACTACCGCTTATCTCAACATGGTATCAGAGCGAGCATGATCCTGCCGCCTAGCTCAACGGGCCCACCAACTGCTTCCGCTGCCGTACTTTCCGCCGCGCGCCCCGTGGTGCGCGGCGCTGTATTTTTCTTCCCGCCGCGTGCTCCGAGCGCGTGGCGGCTTTTTCTGCCCGCCGCGCGCTCGGGGCGCGCGGCGGCTTCACCGTCCGTCGAGGCGCCCTCCGGGGGGGGCCTGCCCGCTGCTCCCCCCCCGTCGCTCGTCGCGGCGCCTTCAGGGGGCCCGCCCGCTGCTCCTCCCCGTCACTCGTCGCGGCGCCTTCAGGGGGCCCGCCCGCTGCTCCCCCCCGTCGCTCGTCGCGGCGCCTTCAGGGGGCCCGCCCGCTGCTCCCCCCCGTCGCTCGTCGCGGCGCCTTCAGGGGGCCCGCCCGCTGCTCCCACAGTCGCCCGTCGCTCGCGCCGCCGCCCCTCCTGCAGCTCGCGACGCCGCCCCCACAGCAGCTCGCGACGCCGCCCCTGCAACAGCGCGCGAGCCGCCCCTGCGCCAGCGCGCGAGCAGCCCCTGCGCTCGCGACGCCGCCCCTGCAGCGGCGTGTGTACCGCCCCTGCGCCAGTGACCCGCCCCTGGAGCAGCCGCCCCTGGAGCAGCCCGCATCGCCGCCCCTGCAGCAGTGCGCCAGCCGCCCCTGCAGCAGCGCGTGTGCCGCCCCTGCGCCAGCGACCCGCCCCTGGAGCAGCCGCCCCTGGTGCAGCCGCCCCTGGCCCCTGCGACGCCGCCCCTGCAGCAGCCGCCCCTGGAGCCGCCCACCACTGCAGCAGCCGCCCCTGGAGTCGCCCGCCACAGCAGCAGCCGCCCCTGGAGCCGCCCGCCACTGCAGCAGCCGCCCCTGGAGCAGCCCGCCACTGCAGCAGCCGCCCCTGGAGTCGCCCGCCACTGCAGCAGCCGCCCCTGGAGTCGCCCGCCACAGCAGCAGCCGCCACTGGAGCCGCCCGCCACTGCAGCAGCCGCCCCTGGAGTCGCCCGCCACAGCAGCAGCCGCCCCTGGAGCCGCCCGCCACTGCAGCAGCCTCCCCTGGAGTCGCCCGCCTCTGCAGCAGCCGCCTCTGGAGCAGCCGCCACTGGAGCCGCCGCCCCTGGTGCAGCCGCCCCTGGGCCCGCGACGCCGCCCCTGGAGCAGCCGCCCCTGCAGCAGCCGCCCCTGGCCCCTGGAGCAGCCGCCACTGCTGCAGCTGCCCCTGGACCTGCGCCGCCGCCCCTGGAGCAGCCGCCCCTGGTGCAGCCGCCCCTGTACCCGCGACGCCGCCCGTGGAGCAGCCGCCCCTGGTGCAGCCGCCCCTGGACCTGCGCCGCCGCCCCTGGAGCAACCGCACCAGCAGCAGCCGACCATGCAGCTGCCCGCGACGCCGCTCCTGGACCCTGTGCAGTCGCGCTCAGTCTCACTCGTGCGCCCTACCCTACCTGCTCCGCGCTGTTGCTCTGCACGCGCGGTTGCCCGCGCCCTCGTGCGCTCTACCCTACCTGCTCCGCGCTGTTGCTCTGCACGCGCGGTTGCCCGCGCCCTCGTGCGCTCTACCCTACCTGCTCCGCGCTGTTGCTCTGCACGCGCGGTTGCCCGCGCCCTCGTGCGCTCTACCCTACCTGCTCCGCGCTGTTGCTCTGCACGCGCGGTTGCCCGCGCCCTCGTGCGCTCTACCCTACCTGCTCCGCGCTGTTGCTCTGCACGCGCGGTTGCCCGCGCCCTCGTGCGCTCTACCCTACCTGCTCCGCGCTGTTGCTCTGCACGCGCGGTTGCCCGCGCCCTCGTGCGCTCTACCCTACCTGCTCCGCGCTGTTGCTCTGCACGCGCGGTTGCCCGCGCCCTCGTGCGCTCTACCCTACCTGCTCCGCGCTGTTGCTCTGCACGCGCGGTTGCCCGCGCCCTCGTGCGCTCTACCCTACCTGCTCCGCGCTGTTGCTCTGCACGCGCGGTTGCCCGCGCCCTCGTGCGCTCTACCCTACCTGCTCCGCGCTGTTGCTCTGCACGCGCGGTTGCCCGCGCCCTCGTGCGCCCTACCCTACCTGCTCCGCGCTGTTGCTCTGCACGCGCGGTTGCCCGCGCCCTACCTGCTCCGCGCTGTTGCTCTGCACGCGCGGTTGCCCGCGCCCTCGTGCGCTCTACCCTACCTGCTCCGCGCTGTTGCTCTGCACGCGCGGTTGCCCGCGCCCTCGTGCGCTCTACCCTACCTGCTCCGCGCTGTTGCTCTGCACGCGCGGTTGCCCGCGCCCTCGTGCGCTCTACCCTACCTGCTCCGCGCTGTTGCTCTGCACGCGCGGTTGCCCGCGCCCTCGTGCGCTCTACCCTACCTGCTCCGCGCTGTTGCTCTGCACGCGCGGCTCCCCCCCCCCTTGCGTCCCCTGGACAGGAGGGTGTGGGGGTGGCGGGTGTGGGGGTGCTCCTTGTGCGTCGCCCCTACCTTCTCCTCCGTCTCCCACTGCTGCAGCTGCCGCTGCGGGGGGGTGGATGTGTGGGAGACGAGGGAGTGGCGCTAAGGGGGTGATGTGGGAGTGGAGCTAGAGGTGACACTGGGGGTGTGTGTAGGGGGGTGTGGGACAGTTGGAGGAGGTTGCAGCACCTGTTGCCCGTGTGTCTGCAGCTTCAGTCGTCGTCTCCAATCTTCTCTCCCTTCACAGTTCCTCCTCCTCCTCACTTGCCCTCTGTGATAGCCTCTAGCTTTGCTCATATTTGTGAACTATTGCACTGCCTGCTCATTGTGCTGATTGCACCCCACTTTGGCTATGGGGGTGTGTCAGAATGTTATTGTCTAGCCTGCAGTGGGGTGCTCAATAGTGAGTACAACCCCTTAGGGTTTCCTATTTGTACCAACCTGCTTGCTAGTTCAACCATCCTCATTCTCATTTTTCTTCTTCAATTCTCCTTCGTATACCCTAAACCCTAGTTCTAGGGCACACCCTACCTACTCTATGTGTGGGCCTAGGCTACTAAGCCTAGGCCCCACTCCTAGTGATTCCAACATGGTATCACTGCTTCCGCTGCTACTGCTACTCCCTGTCCGCCGCGCGCCCCGTGGTGCGCGGCGTCGAAACTAGGGTTTTCAGCCCGCCGTGCGCCCCGAGGCGCGCGGCGGTTTTCTGCCCGCCGTGTGCCCCGAGGCGCGCGACGGGTTCCTGCCCCGTCACTCGGCACGTCGCCCCCGGGAGGCGCTGCGACGGGCGACGGGGACCCGCGCGTCGCCCCCCGTCGCCCGTCGTGGCCTGCGCGCGGCCCGTACACCCGGCGCGCGGCCCGTACGGGCTGCGCCAGGCCCGCGCGCGGCCCGTACAGCCTGCGCCAGGCACGCGCGCGGCCCGTACGGGCTGCGCCAGTCCCGCGCGCGGCTCGGACCGCCTGCGCGCGGTTCGGGAGGCTGTGCCAGGCCCGTGGGCGCCCCGTTCTTCGCTGCCCCTGTCCTCCCCGCTGTCCCCCGTGCTTCTGAAGGCGCCCCACCCCTCCTTCTGCCCGTTCTCCTGGATTAGGGTTTGGGGTTGGGGGGTATGGGGGTGCAGCTTCTGTGTGCCGTTCCCTGCTCCTCCTCCTCCTCCGTCTCCCTGTGCTGCAGCTGCCGCTGAGGGGGGTGGACCTGTTGGAGCCGTCGGAGTGGTACTAAGGGGGGGTGAAGGGGGAGTGGAGCTAGCGGTGTAGCAGCGGGTGTGTGTCGAGGGATGTGGGACTGTTGGGGGAGGTTGAGGGGAGGTTGCCGTCGTGTCGTACGCAGCGCCTGTACTCCGGGGCACTCACTCCCGGTAGCTCAGAGAGCCGGTTGCGCCGTCGCCTGTGGGTCCGTTGCTCCTGCTGCTCGTCTTAGCCGCGGAGCCTGTTACTCCTGTACTCCGGGGCACTCACTCCCGGTAGCCACTGTGTCGCACCAGAGCCGTCTGTTGCCCGTGTGACTGCAGCTTCAGTCGTCGCCTCCCATCTACTCTCCTCTCGCCAGCCCTCCTCCTCCTCACTTGCCCGTTGTGACTACCACTAGCTTTGCTCATAATTGTGAACTTTAAACTATTGCTTCTTAAACTTGTGCTCAGAATGTGTGGTGACATTGTGATCCACCCTGAGCTTGTACTGCTTTGCTTGCTCTGCTGATTACACCCCACTTTGGCTATGGGGGTGTGTTAGAATATTATGCTCTAGCCTGTAGTGGGGTGCTCTGTAGCGAGTACAACCCTTCTAGGGTTTGCTATTTGTATCCCCATTCTTGCTAGTGCAACCCCCCTCTTTCGCCTAAACTCTCTTGCCTAGCTAGGACTCTCCTAGCTATGGCTCCTAAGACTACCGCTTATCTCAACATTGTTCACCTAATCATTATTCACAACATTTCTGATAAGACCCCCGGGTCCTATATACGGGAGATTACGGTAGATGAACTAGAGTTGTTACAATCAGATACATTGTGTTACTAAGAGCGTATTCCTACGGAGGCCACCTCGTATCAAGATTGGCCCTCTCGCCTGTAAATTGGAAACCTCGGTAAAACCTCATATCACGAAAAGTTGCCGGCTAACACACATGTGCGACTCAAATCAAACGCTGATGTGGCGTGTTGCGACCATTGGTGGAAGTGGCACGAAATCTTTGCACACTCTTTACGTTCGCGTGCGGCGCACGATTGCCACCGTGTGCAGCATCGCGTGAATGGTTGTCGGCCGAATACACTGGGCTGACGCCTTCTCGTCAGATGGAACTGTGCACCGGGAAATCAGCACGTTCACCCGAGGGTGTGCGAGCATTTTCATTGGTGCGCTGGTTCGGTCCATTCTTGATATAAGGTGTTTTATAACGTAAACATGAGTCAATTTCATTCTTGATACGAGGTGGCCCCGTAGGAATACGCTCTAATTGAAATACAGGAACTAAAAGACCCACCTACACAAGGATGTACCATACCCAAAATCACCCACATAGAGTACATACCCCTATAATCACAAAGCTATTATCCGTAGCAACAAGCAGAAGCCTCCGAGTATTTACCCGCCTCTACACGCTCGGAGTTGCTTCGCATTGCACTTAGCGGCTGCTGAATCTGCAGAGAGAAGCACAAGGTGGGGAGATGGCACGTGTCAGTCCCACAGCACATGCACACGCGGGCGGCGAGGTGGGGCCCACATAGACTCTGCGCTGCAAAGGCCCAGAAGGTATGGCCTTTCCATGCGGTGCACTTGCTGGCACCATGATGGCTGAGCCTCACAGCACAGGCACACGCGGGTGAGGTGGGGCCCACATAGGCTCTCCAGACTCTCCCGCGCTGCATAGGGACAGCTTGTATGCGGCACTAATGGTCATGATGGTTGAGCCACGGGGTATGAGACGGGTAAGACCGGTCTGGAAACGAAGGCACATGGTCATGATGGCTGAGCCTCACAGCACATGCACACATGGGGGCGAGGTGGGCCCCACAGGCTCTACAGACTCTCCCGCGCTGCATAGGGACAGCTGGTATGCGGCACTCATAGGCATGATGGCTGAGCCTCACAGCATATGCACGCGGGGGCGAGGTGAGCCCCACATAGTCTCTGCCACGGCGAAAGGGGCCGCTGGTATGACCGTTTTATGCGGCGTACATCGACTGAGCCCCATAGCCAGTGCACACGGGGAGGCTGGCAACACTGGGCTAGAGAAGTGAAGACACACGCGAACATACTAGTGAGGCTCTCACCAAACATGCATCTCCTCTCACCAAACATGCTTCTCCTCTCACCAAACATGCATCTCCTCTCACCAAACATGCATCTCCTCTCACCAAACATGCATCTCCTCTCACCAAACACGCACCTCCTCTCACCAAACACGCACCTTCTCTCACCAAACATGCATCTCCTCTCACCAAACATGCATCTCCTCTCACCAAACATGCATCGCCCTCTCACCAAACATGCATCTCCTCTCACCAAACATGCATTTCCTCTCACCAAACATGCATCGCCCTCGCGCCAGCATGCGTCGCCCGCTCACCATTCTCACATGCCGCACTCCTTGAGCTGTTCAGCGCGCTTCTTTTCGCACTCGAAGGCCTCCTGCGAGGTGGGCGTTTTGCCTTTGATCAAGCCAAAAAAGGACGTCGGGGTTGCCCAGCAATCCTTACTCTTCACATCATCGCACTTAGTCACGCCTGCAAAAGGGCGACAGCAAGGAGTGTTGAAGAGGGGCGGCAGCAAGGAGAGATGAAGAGGCACGACAGCAAGGAGAGACAGTCTGAGTGGATTTCCAAAGTCTCATTTGGGGTATGGGCCGCTTGAGATTGAGTTACATGAAGAGCGGCGGCAGAGCAAACGGACGGCCGCGATCAAACTCCAAACGGAAGGCGTGCACTAGTCCCTTACAGCTGGTAACACTCTTTTAAAGGACCAATACGCCCAGCATTCAGGTCTGGGCAGCACGGAATGACCAGCTCCTAGTATACAGTAACAGCAGAAATGGACAGAAAGAGAGACAAAAAGAAAGAAAGAAAGGAAACAGCGAGTAACCGCAGGGATTGAAAGGCTATACTATTTGTGTGGGCTTGGCATGATCATTCTTACCATCAGCCGCAAACTTGTATTTATGAGCCCCAAAAAACCGGAGTGTGCGGCGGCTCTGCGTGTCGTCCCCCGCGCTGCGCTGAGCAGAACTCGGCGCGCTCTCTGCCGTGATGACGCCGCCGGCGGTGTCTACCGCTCCCGATGCATCTGCCGCCACGCCATGCCGACACGTAGATTCGCGGAGGGGATGAGGAGGCAGGGGGAAGAGGTGAGGGGAGGCAAGAGAGGGAGTGAGTGTCAGGCGCTTCCCCCTTGTGTTTCATGCAGCGTGGGGAGAGAGTTTTCGAGAATTCCGCTTCCGACGCACCTGCAGCCACGCCATGCCGACACGTAGATTCGCGGAGGGGACGAGGGGACCGGGGGAAAGGAATGAGGGGAGGCAAAGCGAGCGAGGGAGTGTCAGGCGCTTCGACTAGAAAACAGACTCAAAACTCGACTCAAAAAAAGACTCAAAATTTGACTCAAAACAAGTGAGGGAGCAAGGATGTGTGCAGGTACAACGCGAGTGCGATGCACTGTCGTTTCATTTGCTCAAGATGCTCGTCCACCATCGCACGGGTCTGCGACTTACCATGACCGCACGGGTATGCGCATTACCATAACATGGAGCCAACCTCTCGAGATTCACGTTACCATCGCACAGAAATGATTGGCAGTCATCATCGCACGGGTCTGCGACTTACCGTCGACACTCAGGTCAGATCGAGCAGCAGCAGTAGAAGCTGATGCGAGAGTGACGGTGACGGCAAGCAGGAGAACGAAAGCAGTAAGCAGATGCGCCATGATTACTACTAGTAGCTGGTAGAGAGGATGCATGTTGGAAACTAGCGAATGAGCTCCGAAATGCGGGAATGGTGTTGTAAGGAAAAAGGCGTGAACATTTGTATGGGCGCATCGTGGTGAATGTGAAAGGGCTGTCACCATCGCGAATCGCGATGCTCAGCGAATCAACATCGAGAAGCTCGGTGAGACGCGTTCCAACCATAATTCAGTGGGAGAGTGAGTACATTGACTACAGAGTGGATGTGGGAGGCTGTGGTGTGTTACGAACGTTTCCAGAATGTTGAATAGGGATACAAATCGGTTTGCGTGAATCACTAACGGGTTCTCGGGAAAATTGATCGCGTTCCCAGCTTCGGGAACTGCTTGAATTGCCGTGAGATCCGGGGGGTGCAACCTGGAAGTGGATTAAAACCGACATGCAAAATAGTGAACCCCGACCCAACTTGAAAAAGGTGTTGCGAAGCGAGAATGAAACCAGTCTGACCAAACGAATCGTATAGGCAGAATGCTCTCATGTGATTGGCTCTCGCCAAATTGATGTTTTTGGCTCCCGCCAAAATGAAATTTCTGACTCATTTCAGTCGCAGCATTTGTACGTGCTGCGCCTGCACGACCGTGTCCTGGCGATGGTTTCCGTCGCCAAGCCCAACTTCAATCTCAAGCTGGACCTGGACCTGGGTTCATAACTAGATGTCTTCTGCTCCCATAGTTACTACCTTTACACGTAGCACAGTAACTAGATTAGCTGAGAGCATAGTAACTAGTTTCTCGTCTCGCGCAATTCGTCAACTTTCTCATCACCGTCGGCCCCTTTCGCTCTCCTCTCTCCGCGTCACTCATCACCTCAGCTTCGCCCTCCCTTTCCCTGTCGCTACCTGTCAACTGCCTCACGTCGTATCGCGCTCGCCAAAAAATGGCCTCCCGTAGCCCGCCCTCTCACCATTCTCATCTCCATTCCCGTCGCCCTTCCTATATTTCTTCCGATTGCCCACTTCGTTGCCTTCGAGCTCGCCCCGAATCGGCTTCTCGTCCCCCTTCCTTTCTCCCTTCCTCGTGCCCAATTCGTCGCCTTCGCGCTCTCCCCGAATCGCCTCTCGTCGTCCTTGCTATCTCCCTTCCGTGTGCCCAATTCGTCGCCTTCGCGCTCGTCCCGAATCGCCTTCTCGTCGCCCTTCCGTTCTCCCATCCGAATGCCCAATTCGTCACCGACGCGCTCGTCTTTAGTCGCCCTTCCTCTCTTCTCTCTCACGAGCCACCTCAATTCTCTTCATTGTGTCGCGCTCTCTGTAAATCGCTCTCCCGTCGCCATTATTCTCTTCTCCTCCTGTCAATTACCTCGTCTCCCTCTCATGCGCGCCTCAAATTGCGCTCCCGTCGCCCTTTCTCCCTTCGCGTCGGCCACCTCGTTGCCTCTGCACGCGCCTCAAATCGCCCTCCCGTCGCCCTTCCTATCTCCCTTCACATCGCCCATCTCGTCGCCCTCCTTGTCCCCGCTCACATCACCCACCTCGTCGCCCTCTCACCCGCCTCCAATCGCCACGATCGCCTCTCCCATCCCGTCGCCCTGCCCTTCTCCTTCGCCCTCACCGACGCCATGTCCCATCCCTTCTCGTCGCCCTCACATCTCTTTCCACTTATTGTCACTTCACTTTCTTTCGCCCCTTTCGATCGCGCTCACGTTCTCCCCTACCTTCCCGCCTTCCTAGTGTTCTCCTCTCCCCTTCCGTCACCCTTCCTCTCTCCGCTGCCCTCCCGTCGCCTTCGGTGTCTTCGCTGCCCTTCCGTCGTTATTCATGTACACCTTCCCCTCCCGTCGCCCTTGTTGACCCCGCTCCCTGCATCACGTCGTTCCTCCTCTCTCCCCTGCCGTCCCGTCGCCCCCTTGTCCCCACTCCCTTCTCTTCGTTCTTGCTGTCGCCCAATCAACAATCCCCACGCCATTCATCTCTTCCCATTGCAATCGTTCTCCTTCATATTTTCTATTTCATTCTATTTTTTCCTTTTTTGTTTTCCGTGCGATTTTGCCTGTGTGTGCACTGGGTCTTGCCTGATTTTGCTGTGTGTGCACAGGATTTTGTCTGATTTAGTGTGTGCGCTGGATTTTGCCTGTGAGCGCTGGATTGTGCCTGTGTGTGCGCTGGATTTTGCATTGCTGATTTCAAGGCTAAGTCACGAGCACGACTCCTGTGAATGCATTCACTCACATTCAACCTTGCGCCAAATTCGCACGCCAATGTGGGTGGAAGTCGCCACCAATCAGATTTGTATACAAGTTCCAAGTATTCGCCGTTCACATCGAGACCCTCCTGTAATGGAAAAATAAAAACGCAGAGCACTTCCGACGTTCCAAACCTTCCAAGAAAACTTGTGTTTTCAAGTGGACCCAACTAGAAGGGGGGGGGTCACTATTTTAGCTGCTGAACTACACGGATTTTATTTGAGATGCATAGATAAACAACGAACAAAAATACTAACTAAGTTTCCAACTAAGGGATGATCCATGAGCATCAGATTCAAACCCAACCTGGATTTCCAGCCGAAATGAGGCGTCATCATAAACAGTAATATATGATATTCTGAATAAAATTGAACACTTGGCCATCGACTACCGATATAACTGTGCTAATATCGATGTAATTGCACATGATTCGATTGTTTCCAGGATTTCCATTGGTCGGATGAGGTCGAAGTGCCATACTACAGATAAGAATTCCAGGATAATTACATACATGCATCACCTTCTGGTGTGAATGATTGCAATTACATAGGATTTTGGAATGCCATACGAATCTGCAACCTGCCAAGACAACTTATGCAGGATCCCTCCTCATGTTGCTCCTTCTTGCCTGATTTTAAAGCAACAGTATAATTTTGAAAGTTGGGTTTTCAAAATCCTAAGGAACTTGAAAATGGTTACCAAATAACAAGCCCACAAGCTCGTCCCAACCCCCCTCACAAGTTGTTATGAATGAATTTGCAGAGTGCGCAGTAAAACGAATATCGAGAATGAATGACTACTGAATGACGATACAATGAAAGTGACGCGAATTTATAAGGAGAATCCTAGCTAGGCGAAGGGTTCGGGCTAGGATTGTCGAGATAGTAGGTATACTGAGGAGCCATAGCTAGGGTTGACCTAGCTAGGCAAGAGAGAATGAAGCAAAGAGGGTTTGCACTAGCAACAATGGTGGTACAAATAGCTAACCCTAGAAGGGTTGTACTCGCTATAGAGCACCCCACTGCAGGCTAGAGCATAATATTCTGACACACCCCCATAGTCAAAGTGGGGTGTAATCAGCAGAGCAAGCAAAGCAGTACAAGCTCAGGGTGGATCACGATGTCACCACACATTCTGAGCACAAGCAAGAAGCAATAGTTTAAGGTTCAAATTATGAGCAAAGCTAGAGGCAGTTACAGAGGGCAAGTGAGGAGGAGGAGGGCTGGCGAGAGGAGAGTAGATAGGAGGCGACGACTGAAGATGCAGACACACGGGCAACAGACGGCTCTGGTGCGACAACGTGGCTACCGGGAATGAGTGCCCCGGAGTACAGGAGTAACAGGCTCCGCGGCTAATATGCTCGGCAGGAGCAACGGACCCACAGGCGACGGCGCAACCGGCTCTCTGAGCTACCGGGAATGAGTGCCCCGGAGTACAGGCGCTGCGTACGACACGACGGCAACCTCCGCTCAACCTCCCCCTGCCAGTCCCACACCCCTCGACACACACCCTCTGCTTCAAACCCTAGCTAGCTCCACTCCCACGGTACCCCCCTTAAACCCCAAACCCTAGGCTCCCACACACCACCCCCCTCAGCGGCAGCTGTAGCAGAGGGAGACTAGGGAGGAGGAGGAGCAGGGGGAGGAACTCACAACCGACACCCCCATAGTCGCCACCCCCACACTCCTCACCCCCAAACCCTAAAACGGGCGGAACGGGGGAAGGAGCGCGGGGGACGGCGAGGGGGACGGCGCACGGCCCCCAGGACGCCACCACGGGGCAGCGAGGGGCCGCGCGCGGCTCCTTAGGGCGCCGCGAAGGGGCAGCGGGGGGTCGCGCGCGGCTCCCCAGGGCGGCGCGACGGGAAATCGGGGGCCGCGCGCGGCTCCCCAGGGCGTCGCGGCCGTCGACGGGGCAGCGAGGGGTCGCGCGCGGCTCCCCAGGGCGGCATGACGGCGAATCGGGGTAGCGGGGGGCCGAGCGCGGCTCCCCAGGGCGGCGCGACGGGAAATCGGGGCCGCGGGGGGTCGCGCGCGGCTCCCCAGGACGTCGCAACGGAAAGGGCGGGGGCGCGCGGGGTCCCCCACGGTAGGAAACCGCCGCGCGCCTCGGGGCGCACGGCGGGGAGAAAACCGCCGCACGCCCCGAGCGCGCGGCGGGATGAAAAATCCGTCGCACGCCACGGGGCGTGCGACACAGACAGTAGTAGGAGCAGCGGAAGACTGAGGTGGTGGGGCCCACCCACAGGATCGACCCAACAGGATCGTCCTGCTCTGATAGCATGTCGAGATAGTAGGTATACTGAGGAGCCATAGCTAGGGTTGACCTAGCTAGGCAAGAGAGAATGAAGCAAAGAGGGTTTGCACTAGCAACAATGGTGGTACAAATAGCTAACCCTAGAAGGGTTGTACTCGCTATAGAGCACCCCACTGCAGGCTAGAGCATAATATTCTGACAAGGATGGCTCGGAAAGTGTTGCGATTGGAGCGGTGGCGACTCGGAGGTGGTTCGGGGCGGAAATGTAGGCCGAACCGGGCTGACGCGTGGTGTTCGGATTGTACTCGCTAAAATGCGCGTACAGTAAGGAATTGTAATTCCTTACACTCTCCCACCTTCCAAATAAGGCCTCCCTGTATGTAGACGAAGCCTTCAATGGCGAGGATGCCGTTGATCTTCAGCCCATGTAAATCCGACGGCTGAACTTCCTTGGACAATTAAAATTGTAAATCTTCACAAGGTGCCCGGTCGGGGTCTCGTTTCCCCTTTCAGTTGCTGGTGTTGGTTGCCTGGGAAGGAAGAGCTAGCTACGCGGGTGGGAACTTGACGATGACACTTTAAAGGTAGAAAATGCAAGTAATAAAAATTGGGATGTGAATGTTTTGTCCAGTTTTCGTTTCAAACTCCCACCTTTTAGGAGGTGTGGCCAATGATATTCCGTAGCTTCCTATCCTTTGAAAACTGCCGGTTCGTTCACAAAGCCCAGGTAAATACTTCACCCTTTGTGCAGTATGCCCGAGAGATGTCTGACTCGCCGTGAGGTGCGGTATGTCACAGATCACCGAATTCACATAGCAGTGAATTATGTGGTCTACACCTTTCTGATGTATGGTGTAGGTAAACAACACCATATGTAGAATAATGTGAATGTCTAGAAAACATGACAAGAGAAATAACAGGCCACAGACAAATATTTTTACTCTGTTGAATCATTGTATTATTAAGTCAATAATAACGATTGAACGGTTCTTCCTCGTATCAAGGCTTTGATTGCATATAATTTTCATACCATTGTTTATTTAAAAATTTAGTTGTTACATGTGCAAGATATCGTGCTCTTTGTGGGTGCCCCTCAGGCTCTTTGCTTACCTTCTTCTCCCGACCGCTCGTCGTCTACACCGTTCCCGCTCGTCTACGGTCCTATGTTCCTTCTAGCTTCTTCTCTCGGCTGCTGACTGGTCCGCATGTGTGCTTGTCCAGTGCCGAGGCCAAATATAGACGCGGAATTTACACTTACATTTGTGTGATGGACAAATATAGAGGCTTCCTCTTACACCATTCACCCCTATAATCCCATAGAGTGCAGGATCCCACGCACACAATCTCTGCTCCGTGTGAGTGATGCTTCAGGCTGGCATGTACCAACAACAATTCATGTATTCTCTGCTCAATAGATGCACATAGCATAGTGTTCAAGGAATCACACGATACCGTAATCTCCCGGATACAGTACCCCCCCGCGGAGAAGACCCCGGGTCCTCTTTCCGGACCAAGGGTCTTTTATTCCGACCTGTTCTCGTGAGGACCCCCCTTTTTTAAATATATATTTTAAGACCCCCCTCCTTCGTCAAAATTTCAAATTAATGTTATATTCTTAACGAATCTGGGGGGTTGGTGATGCTCGGCTGACTCGTCATCAGGCACAAAACGGTGACGCGAGACAGTTTCGCGTCGAATTCCAGTCAGGATTCGATTTTGCGTGGATTTTACTGTTGAGATTCGAATCCGCGTCAGGGGAAGAATTCAACACCCTCGGTAAAAGCTTGACTTTCCAGTGCTATGAGTGAATACATTGTGCTCTATGAATTCTTAATGTGTTCAGGGGTCTTAGTAAATATGCCCCTTGGTATTGTTTGTCAGAATATTATGCTCTAGCCTGTAGTGGGGTGCTCTGTAGCGAGTACAACCCTTCTAGGGTTTGCTATTTGTATCCCCATTCTTGCTAGTGCAACCCCCCTCTTTCGCCTAAACTCTCTTGCCTAGCTAGGACTCTCCTAGCTATGGCTCCTAAGACTACCGCTTATCTCAACATGGTATCAGAGCGAGCATGATCCTGCCGCCTAGCTCAACGGGCCCACCAACTGCTTCCGCTGCCATACTTTCCGCCGCGCGCCCCGTGGTGCGCGGCGCTGTATTTTTCTTCCCGCCGCGTGCTCCGAGCGCGTGGCGGCTTTTTCTGCCCGCCGCGCGCTCGGGGCGCGCGGCGGCTTCACCGTCCGTCGAGGCGCCCTCCGGGGGGGGCCTGCCCGCTGCTCCCCCCCCGTCGCTCGTCGCGGCGCCTTCAGGGGGCCCGCCCGCTGCTCCTCCCCGTCACTCGTCGCGGCGCCTTCAGGGGGCCCGCCCGCTGCTCCCCCCCGTCGCTCGTCGCGGCGCCTTCAGGGGGCCCGCCCGCTGCTCCCCCCCGTCGCTCGTCGCGGCGCCTTCAGGGGGCCCGCCCGCTGCTCCCACAGTCGCCCGTCGCTCGCGCCGCCGCCCCTCCTGCAGCTCGCGACGCCGCCCCCACAGCAGCTCGCGACGCCGCCCCTGCAACAGCGCGCGAGCCGCCCCTGCGCCAGCGCGCGAGCAGCCCCTGCGCTCGCGACGCCGCCCCTGCAGCGGCGTGTGTACCGCCCCTGCGCCAGTGACCCGCCCCTGGAGCAGCCGCCCCTGGAGCAGCCCGCATCGCCGCCCCTGCAGCAGTGCGCCAGCCGCCCCTGCAGCAGCGCGTGTGCCGCCCCTGCGCCAGCGACCCGCCCCTGGAGCAGCCGCCCCTGGTGCAGCCGCCCCTGGCCCCTGCGACGCCGCCCCTGCAGCAGCCGCCCCTGGAGCCGCCCACCACTGCAGCAGCCGCCCCTGGAGTCGCCCGCCACAGCAGCAGCCGCCCCTGGAGCCGCCCGCCACTGCAGCAGCCGCCCCTGGAGTCGCCCGCCACTGCAGCAGCCGCCCCTGGAGTCGCCCGCCACAGCAGCAGCCGCCACTGGAGCCGCCCGCCACTGCAGCAGCCGCCCCTGGAGTCGCCCGCCACAGCAGCAGCCGCCCCTGGAGCCGCCCGCCACTGCAGCAGCCTCCCCTGGAGTCGCCCGCCTCTGCAGCAGCCGCCTCTGGAGCAGCCGCCACTGGAGCCGCCGCCCCTGGTGCAGCCGCCCCTGGGCCCGCGACGCCGCCCCTGGAGCAGCCGCCCCTGCAGCAGCCGCCCCTGGCCCCTGGAGCAGCCGCCACTGCTGCAGCTGCCCCTGGACCTGCGCCGCCGCCCCTGGAGCAGCCGCCCCTGGTGCAGCCGCCCCTGTACCCGCGACGCCGCCCGTGGAGCAGCCGCCCCTGGTGCAGCCGCCCCTGGACCTGCGCCGCCGCCCCTGGAGCAACCGCACCAGCAGCAGCCGACCATGCAGCTGCCCGCGACGCCGCTCCTGGACCCTGTGCAGTCGCGCTCAGTCTCACTCGTGCGCCCTACCCTACCTGCTCCGCGCTGTTGCTCTGCACGCGCGGTTGCCCGCGCCCTCGTGCGCTCTACCCTACCTGCTCCGCGCTGTTGCTCTGCACGCGCGGTTGCCCGCGCCCTCGTGCGCTCTACCCTACCTGCTCCGCGCTGTTGCTCTGCACGCGCGGTTGCCCGCGCCCTCGTGCGCTCTACCCTACCTGCTCCGCGCTGTTGCTCTGCACGCGCGGTTGCCCGCGCCCTCGTGCGCTCTACCCTACCTGCTCCGCGCTGTTGCTCTGCACGCGCGGTTGCCCGCGCCCTCGTGCGCTCTACCCTACCTGCTCCGCGCTGTTGCTCTGCACGCGCGGTTGCCCGCGCCCTCGTGCGCTCTACCCTACCTGCTCCGCGCTGTTGCTCTGCACGCGCGGTTGCCCGCGCCCTCGTGCGCTCTACCCTACCTGCTCCGCGCTGTTGCTCTGCACGCGCGGTTGCCCGCGCCCTCGTGCGCTCTACCCTACCTGCTCCGCGCTGTTGCTCTGCACGCGCGGTTGCCCGCGCCCTCGTGCGCTCTACCCTACCTGCTCCGCGCTGTTGCTCTGCACGCGCGGTTGCCCGCGCCCTCGTGCGCCCTACCCTACCTGCTCCGCGCTGTTGCTCTGCACGCGCGGTTGCCCGCGCCCTACCTGCTCCGCGCTGTTGCTCTGCACGCGCGGTTGCCCGCGCCCTCGTGCGCTCTACCCTACCTGCTCCGCGCTGTTGCTCTGCACGCGCGGTTGCCCGCGCCCTCGTGCGCTCTACCCTACCTGCTCCGCGCTGTTGCTCTGCACGCGCGGTTGCCCGCGCCCTCGTGCGCTCTACCCTACCTGCTCCGCGCTGTTGCTCTGCACGCGCGGTTGCCCGCGCCCTCGTGCGCTCTACCCTACCTGCTCCGCGCTGTTGCTCTGCACGCGCGGCTCCCCCCCCCCCTTGCGTCCCCTGGACAGGAGGGTGTGGGGGTGGCGGGTGTGGGGGTGCTCCTTGTGCGTCGCCCCTACCTTCTCCTCCGTCTCCCACTGCTGCAGCTGCCGCTGCGGGGGGGTGGATGTGTGGGAGACGAGGGAGTGGCGCTAAGGGGGTGATGTGGGAGTGGAGCTAGAGGTGACACTGGGGGTGTGTGTAGGGGGGTGTGGGACAGTTGGAGGAGGTTGCAGCACCTGTTGCCCGTGTGTCTGCAGCTTCAGTCGTCGTCTCCAATCTTCTCTCCCTTCACAGTTCCTCCTCCTCCTCACTTGCCCTCTGTGATAGCCTCTAGCTTTGCTCATATTTGTGAACTATTGCACTGCCTGCTCATTGTGCTGATTGCACCCCACTTTGGCTATGGGGGTGTGTCAGAATGTTATTGTCTAGCCTGCAGTGGGGTGCTCAATAGTGAGTACAACCCCTTAGGGTTTCCTATTTGTACCAACCTGCTTGCTAGTTCAACCATCCTCATTCTCATTTTTCTTCTTCAATTCTCCTTCGTATACCCTAAACCCTAGTTCTAGGGCACACCCTACCTACTCTATGTGTGGGCCTAGGCTACTAAGCCTAGGCCCCACTCCTAGTGATTCCAACATGGTATCACTGCTTCCGCTGCTACTGCTACTCCCTGTCCGCCGCGCGCCCCGTGGTGCGCGGCGTCGAAACTAGGGTTTTCAGCCCGCCGTGCGCCCCGAGGCGCGCGGCGGTTTTCTGCCCGCCGTGCGCCCCGAGGCGCGCGGCGGTTCTCTGCCCGCCGTGTGCCCCGAGGCGCGCGACGGGTTCCTGCCCCGTCACTCGGCACGTCGCCCCCGGGAGGCGCTGCGACGGGCGACGGGGACCCGCGCGTCGCCCCCCGTCGCCCGTCGTGGCCTGCGCGCGGCCCGTACACCCGGCGCGCGGCCCGTACGGGCTGCGCCAGGCCCGCGCGCGGCCCGTACGGGCTGCGCCAGGCCCGCGCGCGGCCCGTACGGGCTGCGCCAGGCCCGCGCGCGGCCCGTACGGGCTGCGCCAGGCACGCGCGCGGCCCGTACGGGCTGCGCCAGTCCCGCGCGCGGCTCGGACCGCCTGCGCGCGGTTCGGGAGGCTGTGCCAGGCCCGTGGGCGCCCCGTTCTTCGCTGCCCCTGTCCTCCCCGCTGTCCCCCGTGCTTCTGAAGGCGCCCCACCCCTCCTTCTGCCCGTTCTCCTGGATTAGGGTTTGGGGTTGGGGGGTATGGGGGTGCAGCTTCTGTGTGCCGTTCCCTGCTCCTCCTCCTCCTCCGTCTCCCTGTGCTGCAGCTGCCGCTGAGGGGGGTGGACCTGTTGGAGCCGTCGGAGTGGTACTAAGGGGGGGTGAAGGGGGAGTGGAGCTAGCGGTGTAGCAGCGGGTGTGTGTCGAGGGATGTGGGACTGTTGGGGGAGGTTGAGGGGAGGTTGCCGTCGTGTCGTACGCAGCGCCTGTACTCCGGGGCACTCACTCCCGGTAGCTCAGAGAGCCGGTTGCGCCGTCGCCTGTGGGTCCGTTGCTCCTGCTGCTCGTCTTAGCCGCGGAGCCTGTTACTCCTGTACTCCGGGGCACTCACTCCCGGTAGCCACTGTGTCGCACCAGAGCCGTCTGTTGCCCGTGTGACTGCAGCTTCAGTCGTCGCCTCCCATCTACTCTCCTCTCGCCAGCCCTCCTCCTCCTCACTTGCCCGTTGTGACTACCACTAGCTTTGCTCATAATTGTGAACTTTAAACTATTGCTTCTTAAACTTGTGCTCAGAATGTGTGGTGACATTGTGATCCACCCTGAGCTTGTACTGCTTTGCTTGCTCTGCTGATTACACCCCACTTTGGCTATGGGGGTGTGTCAGAATATTATGCTCTAGCCTGTAGTGGGGTGCTCTGTAGCGAGTACAACCCTTCTAGGGTTTGCTATTTGTATCCCCATTCTTGCTAGTGCAACCCCCCTCTTTCGCCTAAACTCTCTTGCCTAGCTAGGACTCTCCTAGCTATGGCTCCTAAGACTACCGCTTATCTCAACATTGTTCACCTAATCATTATTCACAACATTTCTGATAAGACCCCCGGGTCCTATATACGGGAGATTACGGTAGATGAACTAGAGTTGTTACAATCAGATACATTGTGTTACTAAGAGCGTATTCCTACGGAGGCCACCTCGTATCAAGATTGGCCCTCTCGCCTGTAAATTGGAAACCTCGGTAAAACCTCATATCACGAAAAGTTGCCGGCTAACACACATGTGCGACTCAAATCAAACGCTGATGTGGCGTGTTGCGACCATTGGTGGAAGTGGCACGAAATCTTTGCACACTCTTTACGTTCGCGTGCGGCGCACGATTGCCACCGTGTGCAGCATCGCGTGAATGGTTGTCGGCCGAATACACTGGGCTGACGCCTTCTCGTCAGATGGAACTGTGCACCGGGAAATCAGCACGTTCACCCGAGGGTGTGCGAGCATTTTCATTGGTGCGCTGGTTCGGTCCATTCTTGATATAAGGTGTTTTATAACGTAAACATGAGTCAATTTCATTCTTGATACGAGGTGGCCCCGTAGGAATACGCTCTAATTGAAATACAGGAACTAAAAGACCCACCTACACAAGGATGTACCATACCCAAAATCACCCACATAGAGTACATACCCCTATAATCACAAAGCTATTATCCGTAGCAACAAGCAGAAGCCTCCGAGTATTTACCCGCCTCTACACGCTCGGAGTTGCTTCGCATTGCACTTAGCGGCTGCTGAATCTGCAGAGAGAAGCACAAGGTGGGGAGATGGCACGTGTCAGTCCCACAGCACATGCACACGCGGGCGGCGAGGTGGGGCCCACATAGACTCTGCGCTGCAAAGGCCCAGAAGGTATGGCCTTTCCATGCGGTGCACTTGCTGGCACCATGATGGCTGAGCCTCACAGCACAGGCACACGCGGGTGAGGTGGGGCCCACATAGGCTCTCCAGACTCTCCCGCGCTGCATAGGGACAGCTTGTATGCGGCACTAATGGTCATGATGGTTGAGCCACGGGGTATGAGACGGGTAAGACCGGTCTGGAAACGAAGGCACATGGTCATGATGGCTGAGCCTCACAGCACATGCACACATGGGGGCGAGGTGGGCCCCACAGGCTCTACAGACTCTCCCGCGCTGCATAGGGACAGCTGGTATGCGGCACTCATAGGCATGATGGCTGAGCCTCACAGCATATGCACGCGGGGGCGAGGTGAGCCCCACATAGTCTCTGCCACGGCGAAAGGGGCCGCTGGTATGACCGTTTTATGCGGCGTACATCGACTGAGCCCCATAGCCAGTGCACACGGGGAGGCTGGCAACACTGGGCTAGAGAAGTGAAGACACACGCGAACATACTAGTGAGGCTCTCACCAAACATGCATCTCCTCTCACCAAACATGCTTCTCCTCTCACCAAACATGCATCTCCTCTCACCAAACATGCATCTCCTCTCACCAAACATGCATCTCCTCTCACCAAACATGCATCTCCTCTCACCAAACACGCATCTTCTCTCACCAAACATGCATCTCCTCTCACCAAACATGCATCTCCTCTCACCAAACATGCATCGCCCTCTCACCAAACATGCATCTCCTCTCACCAAACATGCATTTCCTCTCACCAAACATGCATCGCCCTCGCGCCAGCATGCGTCGCCCGCTCACCATTCTCACATGCCGCACTCCTTGAGCTGTTCAGCGCGCTTCTTTTCGCACTCGAAGGCCTCCTGCGAGGTGGGCGTTTTGCCTTTGATCAAGCCAAAAAAGGACGTCGGGGTTGCCCAGCAATCCTTACTCTTCACATCATCGCACTTAGTCACGCCTGCAAAAGGGCGACAGCAAGGAGTGTTGAAGAGGGGCGGCAGCAAGGAGAGATGAAGAGGCGCGACAGCAAGGAGAGACAGTCTGAGTGGATTTCCAAAGTCTCATTTGGGGTATGGGCCGCTTGAGATTGAGTTACATGAAGAGCGGCGGCAGAGCAAACGGACGGCCGCGATCAAACTCCAAACGGAAGGCGTGCACTAGTCCCTTACAGCTGGTAACACTCTTTTAAAGGACCAATACGCCCAGCATTCAGGTCTGGGCAGCACGGAATGACCAGCTCCTAGTATACAGTAACAACAGAAATGGACAGAAAGAGAGACAAAAAGAAAGAAAGAAAGGAAACAGCGAGTAACCGCAGGGATTGAAAGGCTATACTATTTGTGTGGGCTTGGCATGATCATTCTTACCATCAGCCGCAAACTTGTATTTATGAGCCCCAAAAAACCGGAGTGTGCGGCGGCTCTGCGTGTCGTCCCCCGCGCTGCGCTGAGCAGAACTCGGCGCGCTCTCTGCCGTGATGACGCCGCCGGCGGTGTCTACCGCTCCCGATGCATCTGCCGCCACGCCATGCCGACACGTAGATTCGCGGAGGGGATGAGGAGGCAGGGGGAAGAGGTGAGGGGAGGCAAGAGAGGGAGTGAGTGTCAGGCGCTTCCCCCTTGTGTTTCATGCAGCGTGGGGAGAGAGTTTTCGAGAATTCCGCTTCCGACGCACCTGCAGCCACGCCATGCCGACACGTAGATTCGCGGAGGGGACGAGGGGACCGGGGGAAAGGAATGAGGGGAGGCAAAGCGAGCGAGGGAGTGTCAGGCGCTTCGACTAGAAAACAAACTCAAAACTCGACTCAAAAAAAGACTCAAAATTTGACTCAAAACAAGTGAGGGAGCAAGGATGTGTGCAGGTACAACGCGAGTGCGATGCACTGTCGTTTCATTTGCTCAAGATGCTCGTCCACCATCGCACGGGTCTGCGACTTACCATGACCGCACGGGTATGCGCATTACCATAACATGGAGCCAACCTCTCGAGATTCACGTTACCATCGCACAGAAATGATTGGCAGTCATCATCGCACGGGTCTGCGACTTACCGTCGACACTCAGGTCAGATCGAGCAGCAGCAGTAGAAGCTGATGCGAGAGTGACGGTGACGGCAAGCAGGAGAACGAAAGCAGTAAGCAGATGCGCCATGATTACTACTAGTAGCTGGTAGAGAGGATGCATGTTGGAAACTAGCGAATGAGCTCCGAAATGCGGGAATGGTGTTGTAAGGAAAAAGGCGTGAACATTTGTATGGGCGCATCGTGGTGAATGTGAAAGGGCTGTCACCATCGCGAATCGCGATGCTCAGCGAATCAACATCGAGAAGCTCGGTGAGACGCGTTCCAACCATAATTCAGTGGGAGAGTGAGTACATTGACTACAGAGTGGATGTGGGAGGCTGTGGTGTGTTACGAACGTTTCCAGAATGTTGAATAGGGATACGAATCGGTTTGCGTGAATCACTAACGGGTTCTCGGGAAAATTGATCGCGTTCCCAGCTTCGGGAACTGCTTGAATTGCCGTGAGATCCGGGGGGTGCAACCTGGAAGTGGATTAAAACCGACATGCAAAATAGTGAACCCCGACCCAACTTGAAAAAGGTGTTGCGAAGCGAGAATGAAACCAGTCTGACCAAACGAATCGTATAGGCAGAATGCTCTCATGTGATTGGCTCTCGCCAAATTGATGTTTTTGGCTCCCGCCAAAATGAAATTTCTGACTCATTTCAGTCGCAGCATTTGTACGTGCTGCGCCTGCACGACCGTGTCCTGGCGATGGTTTCCGTCGCCAAGCCCAACTTCAATCTCAAGCTGGACCTGGACCTGGGTTCATAACTAGATGTCTTCTGCTCCCATAGTTACTACCTTTACACGTAGCACAGTAACTAGATTAGCTGAGAGCATAGTAACTAGTTTCTCGTCTCGCGCAATTCGTCAACTTTCTCATCACCGTCGGCCCCTTTCGCTCTCCTCTCTCCGCGTCACTCATCACCTCAGCTTCGCCCTCCCTTTCCCTGTCGCTACCTGTCAACTGCCTCACGTCGTATCGCGCTCGCCAAAAAATGGCCTCCCGTAGCCCGCCCTCTCACCATTCTCATCTCCATTCCCGTCGCCCTTCCTATATTTCTTCCGATTGCCCACTTCGTTGCCTTCGAGCTCGCCCCGAATCGGCTTCTCGTCCCCCTTCCTTTCTCCCTTCCTCGTGCCCAATTCGTCGCCTTCGCGCTCGCCCCGAATCGCCTCTCGTCGTCCTTGCTATCTCCCTTCCGTGTGCCCAATTCGTCGCCTTCGCGCTCGTCCCGAATCGCCTTCTCGTCGCCCTTCCGTTCTCCCATCCGAATGCCCAATTCGTCACCGACGCGCTCGTCTTTAGTCGCCCTTCCTCTCTTCTCTCTCACGAGCCACCTCAATTCTCTTCATTGTGTCGCGCTCTCTGTAAATCGCTCTCCCGTCGCCATTATTCTCTTCTCCTCCTGTCAATTACCTCGTCTCCCTCTCATGCGCGCCTCAAATTGCGCTCCCGTCGCCCTTTCTCCCTTCGCGTCGGCCACCTCGTTGCCTCTGCACGCGCCTCAAATCGCCCTCCCGTCGCCCTTCCTATCTCCCTTCACATCGCCCATCTCGTCGCCCTCCTTGTCCCCGCTCACATCACCCACCTCGTCGCCCTCTCACCCGCCTCCAATCGCCACGATCGCCTCTCCCATCCCGTCGCCCTGCCCTTCTCCTTCGCCCTCACCGACGCCATGTCCCATCCCTTCTCGTCGCCCTCACATCTCTTTCCACTTATCGTCACTTCACTTTCTTTCGCCCCTTTCGATCGCGCTCACGTTCTCCCCTACCTTCCCGCCTTCCTAGTGTTCTCCTCTCCCCTTCCGTCACCCTTCCTCTCTCCGCTGCCCTCCCGTCGCCTTCGGTGTCTTCGCTGCCCTTCCGTCGTTATTCATGTACACCTTCCCCTCCCGTCGCCCTTGTTGACCCCGCTCCTTGCATCACGTCGTTCCTCCTCTCTCCCCTGCCGTCCCGTCGCCCCCTTGTCCCCACTCCCTTCTCTTCGTTCTTGCTGTCGCCCAATCAACAATCCCCACGCCATTCATCTCTTCCCATTGCAATCGTTCTCCTTCATATTTTCTATTTCATTCTATTTTTTCCTTTTTTGTTTTCCGTGCGATTTTGCCTGTGTGTGCACTGGGTCTTGCCTGATTTTGCTGTGTGTGCACAGGATTTTGTCTGATTTAGTGTGTGCGCTGGATTGTGCCTGTGAGCGCTGGATTGTGCCTGTGTGTGCGCTGGATTTTGCATTGCTGATTTCAAGGCTAAGTCACGAGCACGACTCCTGTGAATGCATTCACTCACATTCAACCTTGCGCCAAATTCGCACGCCAATGTGGGTGGAAGTCGCCACCAATCAGATTTGTATACAAGTTCCAAGTATTCGCCGTTCACATCGAGACCCTCCTGTAATGGAAAAATAAAAACGCAGAGCACTTCCGACGTTCCAAACCTTCCAAGAAAACTTGTGTTTTCAAGTGGACCCAACTAGAAGGGGGGGGGTCACTATTTTAGCTGCTGAACTACACGGATTTTATTTGAGATGCATAGATAAACAACGAACAAAAATACTAACTAAGTTTCCAACTAAGGGATGATCCATGAGCATCAGATTCAAACCCAACCTGGATTTCCAGCCGAAATGAGGCGTCATCATAAACAGTAATATATGATATTCTGAATAAAATTGAACACTTGGCCATCGACTACCGATATAACTGTGCTAATATCGATGTAATTGCACATGATTCGATTGTTTCCAGGATTTCCATTGGTCGGATGAGGTCGAAGTGCCATACTACAGATAAGAATTCCAGGATAATTACATACATGCATCACCTTCTGGTGTGAATGATTGCAATTACATAGGATTTTGGAATGCCATACGAATCTGCAACCTGCCAAGACAACTTATGCAGGATCCCTCCTCATGTTGCTCCTTCTTGCCTGATTTTAAAGCAACAGTATAATTTTGAAAGTTGGGTCTTCAAAATCCTAAGGAACTTGAAAATGGTTACCAAATAACAAGCCCACAAGCTCGTCCCAACCCCCCTCACAAGTTGTTATGAATGAATTTGCAGAGTGCGCAGTAAAACGAATATCGAGAATGAATGACTACTGAATGACGATACAATGAAAGTGACGCGAATTTATAAGGAGAATCCTAGCTAGGCGAAGGGTTCGGGCTAGGATTGTCGAGATAGTAGGTGTACTGAGGAGCCATAGCTAGGGTTGACCTAGCTAGGCAAGAGAGAATGAAGCAAAGAGGGTTTGCACTAGCAACAATGGTGGTACAAATAGCTAACCCTAGAAGGGTTGTACTCGCTATAGAGCACCCCACTGCAGGCTAGAGCATAATATTCTGACACACCCCCATAGTCAAAGTGGGGTGTAATCAGCAGAGCAAGCAAAGCAGTACAAGCTCAGGGTGGATCACGATGTCACCACACATTCTGAGCACAAGCAAGAAGCAATAGTTTAAGGTTCAAATTATGAGCAAAGCTAGAGGCAGTCACAGGGGGCAAGTGAGGAGGAGGAGGGCTGGCGAGAGGAGAGTAGATAGGAGGCGACGACTGAAGATGCAGACACACGGGCAACAGACGGCTCTGGTGCGACAACGTGGCTACCGGGAATGAGTGCCCCGGAGTACAGGAGTAACAGGCTCCGCGGCTAATATGCTCGGCAGGAGCAACGGACCCACAGGCGACGGCGCAACCGGCTCTCTGAGCTACCGGGAATGAGTGCCCCGGAGTACAGGCGCTGCGTACGACACGACGGCAACCTCCGCTCAACCTCCCCCTGCCAGTCCCACACCCCTCGACACACACCCTCTGCTTCAAACCCTAGCTAGCTCCACTCCCACGGTACCCCCCTTAAACCCCAAACCCTAGGCTCCCACACACCACCCCCCTCAGCGGCAGCTGTAGCAGAGGGAGACTAGGGAGGAGGAGGAGCAGGGGGAGGAACTCACAACCGACACCCCCATAGTCGCCACCCCCACACTCCTCACCCCCAAACCCTAAAACGGGCGGAACGGGGGAAGGAGCGCGGGGGACGGCGAGGGGGACGGCGCACGGCCCCCAGGACGCCACCACGGGGCAGCGAGGGGCCGCGCGCGGCTCCTTAGGGCGCCGCGAAGGGGCAGCGGGGGGTCGCGCGCGGCTCCCCAGGGCGGCGCGACGGGAAATCGGGGGCCGCGCGCGGCTCCCCAGGGCGTCGCGGCCGTCGACGGGGCAGCGAGGGGTCGCGCGCGGCTCCCCAGGGCGGCATGACGGCGAATCGGGGTAGCGGGGGGCCGAGCGCGGCTCCCCAGGGCGGCGCGACGGGAAATCGGGGCCGCGGGGGGTCGCGCGCGGCTCCCCAGGACGTCGCAACGGAAAGGGCGGGGGCGCGCGGGGTCCCCCACGGTAGGAAACCGCCGCGCGCCTCGGGGCGCACGGCGGGGAGAAAACCGCCGCACGCCCCGAGCGCGCGGCGGGATGAAAAATCCGTCGCACGCCACGGGGCGTGCGACACAGACAGTAGTAGGAGCAGCGGAAGACTGAGGTGGTGGGGCCCACCCACAGGATCGACCCAACAGGATCGTCCTGCTCTGATAGCATGTCGAGATAGTAGGTATACTGAGGAGCCATAGCTAGGGTTGACCTAGCTAGGCAAGAGAGAATGAAGCAAAGAGGGTTTGCACTAGCAACAATGGTGGTACAAATAGCTAACCCTAGAAGGGTTGTACTCGCTATAGAGCACCCCACTGCAGGCTAGAGCATAATATTCTGACAAGGATGGCTCGGAAAGTGTTGCGATTGGAGCGGTGGCGACTCGGAGGTGGTTCGGGGCGGAAATGTAGGCCGAACCGGGCTGACGCGTGGTGTTCGGATTGTACTCGCTAAAATGCGCGTACAGTAAGGAATTGTAATTCCTTACACTCTCCCACCTTCCAAATAAGGCCTCCCTGTATGTAGACGAAGCCTTCAATGGCGAGGATGCCGTTGATCTTCAGCCCATGTAAATCCGACGGCTGAACTTCCTTGGACAATTAAAATTGTAAATCTTCACAAGGTGCCCGGTCGGGGTCTCGTTTCCCCTTTCAGTTGCTGGTGTTGGTTGCCTGGGAAGGAAGAGCTAGCTACGCGGGTGGGAACTTGACGATGACACTTTAAAATGCAAGTAATAAAAATTGGGATGTGAATGTTTTGTCCAGTTTTCGTTTCAAACTCCCACCTTTTAGGAGGTGTGGCCAATGATATTCCGTAGCTTCCTATCCTTTGAAAACTGCCGGTTCGTTCACAAAGCCCAGGTAAATACTTCACCCTTTGTGCAGTATGCCCGAGAGATGTCTGACTCGCCGTGAGGTGCGGTATGTCACAGATCACCGAATTCACATAGCAGTGAATTATGTGGTCTACACCTTTCTGATGTATGGTGTAGGTAAACAACACCATATGTAGAATAATGTGAATGTCTAGAAAACATGACAAGAGAAATAACAGGCCACAGACAAATATTTTTACTCTGTTGAATCATTGTATTATTAAGTCAATAATAACGATTGAACGGTTCTTCCTCGTATCAAGGCTTTGATTGCATATAATTTTCATACCATTGTTTATTTAAAAATTTAGTTGTTACATGTGCAAGATATCGTGCTCTTTGTGGGTGCCCCTCAGGCTCTTTGCTTACCTTCTTCTCCCGACCGCTCGTCGTCTACACCGTTCCCGCTCGTCTACGGTCCTATGTTCCTTCTAGCTTCTTCTCTCGGCTGCTGACTGGTCCGCATGTGTGCTTGTCCAGTGCCGAGGCCAAATATAGACGCGGAATTTACACTTACATTTGTGTGATGGACAAATATAGAGGCTTCCTCTTACACCATTCACCCCTATAATCCCATAGAGTGCAGGATCCCACGCACACAATCTCTGCTCCGTGTGAGTGATGCTTCAGGCTGGCATGTACCAACAACAATTCATGTATTCTCTGCTCAATAGATGCACATAGCATAGTGTTCAAGGAATCACACGATACCGTAATCTCCCGGATACAGTACCCCCCCGCGGAGAAGACCCCGGGTCCTCTTTCCGGACCAAGGGTCTTTTATTCCGACCTGTTCTCGTGAGGACCCCCCTTTTTTAAATATATATTTTAAGACCCCCCTCCTTCGTCAAAATTTCAAATTAATGTTATATTCTTAACGAATCTGGGGGGTTGGTGATGCTCGGCTGACTCGTCATCAGGCACAAAACGGTGACGCGAGACAGTTTCGCGTCGAATTCCAGTCAGGATTCGATTTTGCGTGGATTTTACTGTTGAGATTCGAATCCGCGTCAGGGGAAGAATTCAACACCCTCGGTAAAAGCTTGACTTTCCAGTGCTATGAGTGAATACATTGTGCTCTATGAATTCTTAATGTGTTCAGGGGTCTTAGTAAATATGCCCCTTGGTATTGTTTGTCAGAATATTATGCTCTAGCCTGTAGTGGGGTGCTCTGTAGCGAGTACAACCCTTCTAGGGTTTGCTATTTGTATCCCCATTCTTGCTAGTGCAACCCCCCTCTTTCGCCTAAACTCTCTTGCCTAGCTAGGACTCTCCTAGCTATGGCTCCTAAGACTACCGCTTATCTCAACATGGTATCAGAGCGAGCATGATCCTGCCGCCTAGCTCAACGGGCCCACCAACTGCTTCCGCTGCCATACTTTCCGCCGCGCGCCCCGTGGTGCGCGGCGCTGTATTTTTCTTCCCGCCGCGTGCTCCGAGCGCGTGGCGGCTTTTTCTGCCCGCCGCGCGCTCGGGGCGCGCGGCGGCTTCACCGTCCGTCGAGGCGCCCTCCGGGGGGGGCCTGCCCGCTGCTCCCCCCCCGTCGCTCGTCGCGGCGCCTTCAGGGGGCCCGCCCGCTGCTCCTCCCCGTCACTCGTCGCGGCGCCTTCAGGGGGCCCGCCCGCTGCTCCCCCCCGTCGCTCGTCGCGGCGCCTTCAGGGGGCCCGCCCGCTGCTCCCCCCCGTCGCTCGTCGCGGCGCCTTCAGGGGGCCCGCCCGCTGCTCCCACAGTCGCCCGTCGCTCGCGCCGCCGCCCCTCCTGCAGCTCGCGACGCCGCCCCCACAGCAGCTCGCGACGCCGCCCCTGCAACAGCGCGCGAGCCGCCCCTGCGCCAGCGCGCGAGCAGCCCCTGCGCTCGCGACGCCGCCCCTGCAGCGGCGTGTGTACCGCCCCTGCGCCAGTGACCCGCCCCTGGAGCAGCCGCCCCTGGAGCAGCCCGCATCGCCGCCCCTGCAGCAGTGCGCCAGCCGCCCCTGCAGCAGCGCGTGTGCCGCCCCTGCGCCAGCGACCCGCCCCTGGAGCAGCCGCCCCTGGTGCAGCCGCCCCTGGCCCCTGCGACGCCGCCCCTGCAGCAGCCGCCCCTGGAGCCGCCCACCACTGCAGCAGCCGCCCCTGGAGTCGCCCGCCACAGCAGCAGCCGCCCCTGGAGCCGCCCGCCACTGCAGCAGCCGCCCCTGGAGCCGCCCGCCACTGCAGCAGCCGCCCCTGGAGTCGCCCGCCACTGCAGCAGCCGCCCCTGGAGTCGCCCGCCACAGCAGCAGCCGCCACTGGAGCCGCCCGCCACTGCAGCAGCCGCCCCTGGAGTCGCCCGCCACAGCAGCAGCCGCCCCTGGAGCCGCCCGCCACTGCAGCAGCCTCCCCTGGAGTCGCCCGCCTCTGCAGCAGCCGCCTCTGGAGCAGCCGCCACTGGAGCCGCCGCCCCTGGTGCAGCCGCCCCTGGGCCCGCGACGCCGCCCCTGGAGCAGCCGCCCCTGCAGCAGCCGCCCCTGGCCCCTGGAGCAGCCGCCACTGCTGCAGCTGCCCCTGGACCTGCGCCGCCGCCCCTGGAGCAGCCGCCCCTGGTGCAGCCGCCCCTGTACCCGCGACGCCGCCCGTGGAGCAGCCGCCCCTGGTGCAGCCGCCCCTGGACCTGCGCCGCCGCCCCTGGAGCAACCGCACCAGCAGCAGCCGACCATGCAGCTGCCCGCGACGCCGCTCCTGGACCCTGTGCAGTCGCGCTCAGTCTCACTCGTGCGCCCTACCCTACCTGCTCCGCGCTGTTGCTCTGCACGCGCGGTTGCCCGCGCCCTCGTGCGCTCTACCCTACCTGCTCCGCGCTGTTGCTCTGCACGCGCGGTTGCCCGCGCCCTCGTGCGCTCTACCCTACCTGCTCCGCGCTGTTGCTCTGCACGCGCGGTTGCCCGCGCCCTCGTGCGCTCTACCCTACCTGCTCCGCGCTGTTGCTCTGCACGCGCGGTTGCCCGCGCCCTCGTGCGCTCTACCCTACCTGCTCCGCGCTGTTGCTCTGCACGCGCGGTTGCCCGCGCCCTCGTGCGCTCTACCCTACCTGCTCCGCGCTGTTGCTCTGCACGCGCGGTTGCCCGCGCCCTCGTGCGCTCTACCCTACCTGCTCCGCGCTGTTGCTCTGCACGCGCGGTTGCCCGCGCCCTCGTGCGCTCTACCCTACCTGCTCCGCGCTGTTGCTCTGCACGCGCGGTTGCCCGCGCCCTCGTGCGCTCTACCCTACCTGCTCCGCGCTGTTGCTCTGCACGCGCGGTTGCCCGCGCCCTCGTGCGCTCTACCCTACCTGCTCCGCGCTGTTGCTCTGCACGCGCGGTTGCCCGCGCCCTCGTGCGCCCTACCCTACCTGCTCCGCGCTGTTGCTCTGCACGCGCGGTTGCCCGCGCCCTACCTGCTCCGCGCTGTTGCTCTGCACGCGCGGTTGCCCGCGCCCTCGTGCGCTCTACCCTACCTGCTCCGCGCTGTTGCTCTGCACGCGCGGTTGCCCGCGCCCTCGTGCGCTCTACCCTACCTGCTCCGCGCTGTTGCTCTGCACGCGCGGTTGCCCGCGCCCTCGTGCGCTCTACCCTACCTGCTCCGCGCTGTTGCTCTGCACGCGCGGTTGCCCGCGCCCTCGTGCGCTCTACCCTACCTGCTCCGCGCTGTTGCTCTGCACGCGCGGCTCCCCCCCCCCCTTGCGTCCCCTGGACAGGAGGGTGTGGGGGTGGCGGGTGTGGGGGTGCTCCTTGTGCGTCGCCCCTACCTTCTCCTCCGTCTCCCACTGCTGCAGCTGCCGCTGCGGGGGGGTGGATGTGTGGGAGACGAGGGAGTGGCGCTAAGGGGGTGATGTGGGAGTGGAGCTAGAGGTGACACTGGGGGTGTGTGTAGGGGGGTGTGGGACAGTTGGAGGAGGTTGCAGCACCTGTTGCCCGTGTGTCTGCAGCTTCAGTCGTCGTCTCCAATCTTCTCTCCCTTCACAGTTCCTCCTCCTCCTCACTTGCCCTCTGTGATAGCCTCTAGCTTTGCTCATATTTGTGAACTATTGCACTGCCTGCTCATTGTGCTGATTGCACCCCACTTTGGCTATGGGGGTGTGTCAGAATGTTATTGTCTAGCCTGCAGTGGGGTGCTCAATAGTGAGTACAACCCCTTAGGGTTTCCTATTTGTACCAACCTGCTTGCTAGTTCAACCATCCTCATTCTCATTTTTCTTCTTCAATTCTCCTTCGTATACCCTAAACCCTAGTTCTAGGGCACACCCTACCTACTCTATGTGTGGGCCTAGGCTACTAAGCCTAGGCCCCACTCCTAGTGATTCCAACATGGTATCACTGCTTCCGCTGCTACTGCTACTCCCTGTCCGCCGCGCGCCCCGTGGTGCGCGGCGTCGAAACTAGGGTTTTCAGCCCGCCGTGCGCCCCGAGGCGCGCGGCGGTTTTCTGCCCGCCGTGCGCCCCGAGGCGCGCGGCGGTTCTCTGCCCGCCGTGTGCCCCGAGGCGCGCGACGGGTTCCTGCCCCGTCACTCGGCACGTCGCCCCCGGGAGGCGCTGCGACGGGCGACGGGGACCCGCGCGTCGCCCCCCGTCGCCCGTCGTGGCCTGCGCGCGGCCCGTACACCCGGCGCGCGGCCCGTACGGGCTGCGCCAGGCCCGCGCGCGGCCCGTACGGGCTGCGCCAGGCACGCGCGCGGCCCGTACGGGCTGCGCCAGTCCCGCGCGCGGCTCGGACCGCCTGCGCGCGGTTCGGGAGGCTGTGCCAGGCCCGTGGGCGCCCCGTTCTTCGCTGCCCCTGTCCTCCCCGCTGTCCCCCGTGCTTCTGAAGGCGCCCCACCCCTCCTTCTGCCCGTTCTCCTGGATTAGGGTTTGGGGTTGGGGGGTATGGGGGTGCAGCTTCTGTGTGCCGTTCCCTGCTCCTCCTCCTCCTCCGTCTCCCTGTGCTGCAGCTGCCGCTGAGGGGGGTGGACCTGTTGGAGCCGTCGGAGTGGTACTAAGGGGGGGTGAAGGGGGAGTGGAGCTAGCGGTGTAGCAGCGGGTGTGTGTCGAGGGATGTGGGACTGTTGGGGGAGGTTGAGGGGAGGTTGCCGTCGTGTCGTACGCAGCGCCTGTACTCCGGGGCACTCACTCCCGGTAGCTCAGAGAGCCGGTTGCGCCGTCGCCTGTGGGTCCGTTGCTCCTGCTGCTCGTCTTAGCCGCGGAGCCTGTTACTCCTGTACTCCGGGGCACTCACTCCCGGTAGCCACTGTGTCGCACCAGAGCCGTCTGTTGCCCGTGTGACTGCAGCTTCAGTCGTCGCCTCCCATCTACTCTCCTCTCGCCAGCCCTCCTCCTCCTCACTTGCCCGTTGTGACTACCACTAGCTTTGCTCATAATTGTGAACTTTAAACTATTGCTTCTTAAACTTGTGCTCAGAATGTGTGGTGACATTGTGATCCACCCTGAGCTTGTACTGCTTTGCTTGCTCTGCTGATTACACCCCACTTTGGCTATGGGGGTGTGTCAGAATATTATGCTCTAGCCTGTAGTGGGGTGCTCTGTAGCGAGTACAACCCTTCTAGGGTTTGCTATTTGTATCCCCATTCTTGCTAGTGCAACCCCCCTCTTTCGCCTAAACTCTCTTGCCTAGCTAGGACTCTCCTAGCTATGGCTCCTAAGACTACCGCTTATCTCAACATTGTTCACCTAATCATTATTCACAACATTTCTGATAAGACCCCCGGGTCCTATATACGGGAGATTACGGTAGATGAACTAGAGTTGTTACAATCAGATACATTGTGTTACTAAGAGCGTATTCCTACGGAGGCCACCTCGTATCAAGATTGGCCCTCTCGCCTGTAAATTGGAAACCTCGGTAAAACCTCATATCACGAAAAGTTGCCGGCTAACACACATGTGCGACTCAAATCAAACGCTGATGTGGCGTGTTGCGACCATTGGTGGAAGTGGCACGAAATCTTTGCACACTCTTTACGTTCGCGTGCGGCGCACGATTGCCACCGTGTGCAGCATCGCGTGAATGGTTGTCGGCCGAATACACTGGGCTGACGCCTTCTCGTCAGATGGAACTGTGCACCGGGAAATCAGCACGTTCACCCGAGGGTGTGCGAGCATTTTCATTGGTGCGCTGGTTCGGTCCATTCTTGATATAAGGTGTTTTATAACGTAAACATGAGTCAATTTCATTCTTGATACGAGGTGGCCCCGTAGGAATACGCTCTAATTGAAATACAGGAACTAAAAGACCCACCTACACAAGGATGTACCATACCCAAAATCACCCACATAGAGTACATACCCCTATAATCACAAAGCTATTATCCGTAGCAACAAGCAGAAGCCTCCGAGTATTTACCCGCCTCTACACGCTCGGAGTTGCTTCGCATTGCACTTAGCGGCTGCTGAATCTGCAGAGAGAAGCACAAGGTGGGGAGATGGCACGTGTCAGTCCCACAGCACATGCACACGCGGGCGGCGAGGTGGGGCCCACATAGACTCTGCGCTGCAAAGGCCCAGAAGGTATGGCCTTTCCATGCGGTGCACTTGCTGGCACCATGATGGCTGAGCCTCACAGCACAGGCACACGCGGGTGAGGTGGGGCCCACATAGGCTCTCCAGACTCTCCCGCGCTGCATAGGGACAGCTTGTATGCGGCACTAATGGTCATGATGGTTGAGCCACGGGGTATGAGACGGGTAAGACCGGTCTGGAAACGAAGGCACATGGTCATGATGGCTGAGCCTCACAGCACATGCACACATGGGGGCGAGGTGGGCCCCACAGGCTCTACAGACTCTCCCGCGCTGCATAGGGACAGCTGGTATGCGGCACTCATAGGCATGATGGCTGAGCCTCACAGCATATGCACGCGGGGGCGAGGTGAGCCCCACATAGTCTCTGCCACGGCGAAAGGGGCCGCTGGTATGACCGTTTTATGCGGCGTACATCGACTGAGCCCCATAGCCAGTGCACACGGGGAGGCTGGCAACACTGGGCTAGAGAAGTGAAGACACACGCGAACATACTAGTGAGGCTCTCACCAAACATGCATCTCCTCTCACCAAACATGCTTCTCCTCTCACCAAACATGCATCTCCTCTCACCAAACATGCATCTCCTCTCACCAAACATGCATCTCCTCTCACCAAACATGCATCTCCTCTCACCAAACACGCATCTTCTCTCACCAAACATGCATCTCCTCTCACCAAACATGCATCTCCTCTCACCAAACATGCATCGCCCTCTCACCAAACATGCATCTCCTCTCACCAAACATGCATTTCCTCTCACCAAACATGCATCGCCCTCGCGCCAGCATGCGTCGCCCGCTCACCATTCTCACATGCCGCACTCCTTGAGCTGTTCAGCGCGCTTCTTTTCGCACTCGAAGGCCTCCTGCGAGGTGGGCGTTTTGCCTTTGATCAAGCCAAAAAAGGACGTCGGGGTTGCCCAGCAATCCTTACTCTTCACATCATCGCACTTAGTCACGCCTGCAAAAGGGCGACAGCAAGGAGTGTTGAAGAGGGGCGGCAGCAAGGAGAGATGAAGAGGCGCGACAGCAAGGAGAGACAGTCTGAGTGGATTTCCAAAGTCTCATTTGGGGTATGGGCCGCTTGAGATTGAGTTACATGAAGAGCGGCGGCAGAGCAAACGGACGGCCGCGATCAAACTCCAAACGGAAGGCGTGCACTAGTCCCTTACAGCTGGTAACACTCTTTTAAAGGACCAATACGCCCAGCATTCAGGTCTGGGCAGCACGGAATGACCAGCTCCTAGTATACAGTAACAGCAGAAATGGACAGAAAGAGAGACAAAAAGAAAGAAAGAAAGGAAACAGCGAGTAACCGCAGGGATTGAAAGGCTATACTATTTGTGTGGGCTTGGCATGATCATTCTTACCATCAGCCGCAAACTTGTATTTATGAGCCCCAAAAAACCGGAGTGTGCGGCGGCTCTGCGTGTCGTCCCCCGCGCTGCGCTGAGCAGAACTCGGCGCGCTCTCTGCCGTGATGACGCCGCCGGCGGTGTCTACCGCTCCCGATGCATCTGCCGCCACGCCATGCCGACACGTAGATTCGCGGAGGGGATGAGGAGGCAGGGGGAAGAGGTGAGGGGAGGCAAGAGAGGGAGTGAGTGTCAGGCGCTTCCCCCTTGTGTTTCATGCAGCGTGGGGAGAGAGTTTTCGAGAATACCGCTTCCGACGCACCTGCAGCCACGCCATGCCGACACGTAGATTCGCGGAGGGGACGAGGGGACCGGGGGAAAGGAATGAGGGGAGGCAAAGCGAGCGAGGGAGTGTCAGGCGCTTCGACTAGAAAACAGACTCAAAACTCGACTCAAAAAAAGACTCAAAATTTGACTCAAAACAAGTGAGGGAGCAAGGATGTGTGCAGGTACAACGCGAGTGCGATGCACTGTCGTTTCATTTGCTCAAGATGCTCGTCCACCATCGCACGGGTCTGCGACTTACCATGACCGCACGGGTATGCGCATTACCATAACATGGAGCCAACCTCTCGAGATTCACGTTACCATCGCACAGAAATGATTGGCAGTCATCATCGCACGGGTCTGCGACTTACCGTCGACACTCAGGTCAGATCGAGCAGCAGCAGTAGAAGCTGATGCGAGAGTGACGGTGACGGCAAGCAGGAGAACGAAAGCAGTAAGCATATGCGCCATGATTACTACTAGTAGCTGGTAGAGAGGATGCATGTTGGAAACTAGCGAATGAGCTCCGAAATGCGGGAATGGTGTTGTAAGGAAAAAGGCGTGAACATTTGTATGGGCGCATCGTGGTGAATGTGAAAGGGCTGTCACCATCGCGAATCGCGATGCTCAGCGAATCAACATCGAGAAGCTCGGTGAGACGCGTTCCAACCATAATTCAGTGGGAGAGTGAGTACATTGACTACAGAGTGGATGTGGGAGGCTGTGGTGTGTTACGAACGTTTCCAGAATGTCGAATAGGGATACGAATCGGTTTGCGTGAATCACTAACGGGTTCTCGGGAAAATTGATCGCGTTCCCAGCTTCGGGAACTGCTTGAATTGCCGTGAGATCCGGGGGGTGCAACCTGGAAGTGGATTAAAACCGACATGCAAAATAGTGAACCCCGACCCAACTTGAAAAAGGTGTTGCGAAGCGAGAATGAAACCAGTCTGACCAAACGAATCGTATAGGCAGAATGCTCTCATGTGATTGGCTCTCGCCAAATTGATGTTTTTGGCTCCCGCCAAAATGAAATTTCTGACTCATTTCAGTCGCAGCATTTGTACGTGCTGCGCCTGCACG